GTTTCGGTCGGGTGATATTGACACTCGCTGATGAACTAACAGCACTCACTTGTCCCGGTCTACCTTGGGCCTCACTTCTTGGGCCCTGACAGCAGTCATACTGGTTAGTAGTCCTAGATAGATAATTGTGTTAGCGGTCGGGGAAATTTTATTAACGAGTGTAAATATCTCCCTGCCTAAATCGACAAGACAACGAACAATTAGGTGCTCGCGTCTTTTATTTATTTAAATTTACACACGATAACTGAGGACTCGTGTTTTTAGTTAGGATCCAAGCGCTAACCTGAAAACCACCTTACTTACACTATTTGACCCCATTTGGAGAGGTTCGCCAGCCAAAAATACTACAATTTTTAATGTTTTTAACTAACCCTTATTGCCGCATCGTCATAGCCATGTTGACGTAGGTAGCAGTTTACTTCACAGGAGCTCAGAATTCTGTCATGATTTGCGTCCATCTGGTAGAATAAATCAACCAGTCTGCGCCGCCTGCCCGTGTTCTCTCTCTGCAATCGCCGGTACATGTTCGCTTAACCTGCAAAAAAATTTGTAAGATGAAATAATATGCCATGAAATTTTAGTAGTTCAGTCGTATCGCATTCTCCTTGCTGTGCAAATTTTAGGGACTTCCCTTTTGGTTCTGCATTTACCTTCGGGAATAGCATAGTTTTAGTGTTCCATCACAGGCAAATAAGGCATATAAGAAAGCAATTATGGTTTAATCTAAAAGAGATAACAGTTAAGTTGCCCGCCCACCGTAAATACCCTGGCCCCAGAATTCCGTCTTACGGGATCGGTTGTATTAGTTTACTTTAGTTTTCAGTTTATTATTTAGTATATTAGTTTAATTTTAGTTTAATTTTAGTTCTTAGTTCATTTAGGTTGGTTAAGTTCAGCTTTGGTTAGTTAGTTTAGTTAAGTAGTAGTAGTTCTTTAAATATATTTATCTAACGTTAGCAAAGTCGAACTAAACTAAAAACCAAACTAAACTAAACCTAAAGCTAAACTAATAAACTAGATAATAAACTGAATACTAAACTAAACTAAAACCAATAAAATAAAAAGTAACCACAGTACAGTAGTCGCCGGTTATTAAGCCCAATTTTGTCTGGGACGGAGGTGGGCTTAATAACCGGCGACTACTGTACTAGGGGCTGGTGGTATCTAAGATGGGCGACTAACTTAACTGTTGCTTTAAAAGACTTCAAAGGTCCTGGTGACGGTAAAACCAACAGTAAACATCAGCTCAAGGACGTCTAACTAGCCGTGACGACCCATATAGGGTTGACGCTGGATCTTTCCGCAAACAGGATAGACACTGAGGCACCACTTAGCTGGCTTCCAGTTATAGTCTGCATTAAAGGCTTTAAAATGCGTCAGCCATTGGAATTAGCGGAAGTACCTTGTTAGCTCCAATCCACTTCTTAACTAAAATAGTCAGCACGGTCAGACACGGGACTATAGCTGACCCTGCACTAGATCCGAGTGGTACCTATTCCCGTGCCCTGGTCATTGCCCCAACCTTAAGCCTAATCCCAAACCTCCCCGAAATGGGGTGCAAGGCCATCTGTAACATGGAGTACCTTTTTCCCTGTTTGGTCGTAAACTCTTGCTTTTGGAAGACCAAATAGCCCTGCTAAGATAGCGGACTTTTCTCCATCTTATGGAAAACTGAATAGGATGCACGTTTAGTTATACGGCCAAATGAATAAGTACTAAGCTTGAGTCTAACAGCTGCGTGCCGTATAAGCCAGTTTGTACGCATCTTCATCCGATGATGCTTGTTAGGCGTTCACCCTGTTCCAAAAAGGCAACCGAGAGTTTATTCCTAAAGAAGGAGACTTTTCCAGAACGCCATATTTTGCCCAAGTTAGACACTCTAAGCACACAACATGAAGGACCTTAAGTTGCAAGTAAGATGAATCTGCGTTTATAAGCGTGTAAAATTTATTATAATTGTAAGTTTAAAAAATTGTATCATTCATATCAGAAAAGAACTTTCTCGTATGTATTTTTTCTTAACTGATGGTTATGGGGAGCAGATTCGAAGTACTAGAGTGAATTCTAGCTTCCGAAAAGGCAACCGGGAGTTCAAAGAAAGCCATTTTTCCCGGGGAACTAATGGCACCAGATTTAGACATGCTAAGCACACGGCATGCAGGACCATCATTTGCAGATCAGTATAATCCTACTTTTAACTAAAAGGAGCTTTAGTCATATCTCAAAAGTTTTTTTGCCATCTGTTATTTTTTCATAAATAACAGCGTAAGTTCAAAGCCCCGGTGTGGTTTTCGTCCGGGTTTTTGGCTTTTATGCACCGTAAGGCCAATTAATGTCCATTATACACGTCTGCTTATATTGAGTTGTAAATTATTGCATATCAACCTGTCCGAGGAGCAAACCCGTAATAGGTGCGTTGACTCTCTTGCAGGAGGTTAAAGAACATCCGTTGATGAACGTGTAGGAGCCTGCCCCCCTCCCAGCGCTGCCTGCTCTGTCAACGTGGCCAGTAAATCGATTTTTGGCGCATCGCTGATTACTGGTCCACACTAGACTTGCCTCGCGACTTGTGATGACTTATCTACGAAGCGTGTATTGGCAGCTAAGTCACTCAATCAGTTAATCGATTTTGCGTACTGCTGATTACTGATATGCGCCGGATTTGTTGTCAGCGCTGGCAGAAACACACT